TCGATCAGGCCTGCAGGGAAGGGTAGTTAGGGGGGACCCAGGCCTGCAGGGGAGATCAGTTGGGGAAAACTAGGCTTCCAGGGAAGGGAAATTATGGGTGACCAGGCTTTCAGAAGAGGGTAGTTAGGGGTTACCAGGCCTGCAGGGGAGGTAAGTTAGGGGAAAACAGGCTGGCAGGGGAGCAGTTAAGCATCAATCAGGCTGGCAGGCAGAAGTGGTGAAGGGCAATCAGGACAGTAGGCAGGCAAGCAGTTTGGAGCCAGCTTTCCTAGATTGTGAGATGGATATCTGACTGTTCTTTTAGGACCCATCCTACCAGAGAATTTCATGCACCAGGGCTCTAGTTTAATAATGAGACAATATAATTTCTAATATGTTATTTGCATATCCAGATGATAGCATTGTGCACCCTCTGAGGAAGAGGTCCTCCACTTTGGAGACCACTGGTATTTCTTAAACTTTAGTGTGCATATTACCCAAGAATTTTTTTAAATGAAAATTTTGATTCATTAGGTCAAGGGTGAAATGCTCTATATGATTCCATAAAAATATTACTAGCAATTAAAACCCATATGGAAAATGCTTACCTTTAATTTTTGCTGTCTTACTTAAAAATGTGGGATAGCTTGCTACTTTCATTGAATTATCTTGAAGAAAAATTATACAGAAAAGTTCTAAAAGAGATTTTACTGCAGAATTCTCAGGGGAAATAATATCTGCAATAGCTATAAGCAATTACATATTTTTTATTAAATTGTTATCTGTGTACATATTTTAACATTGGCCCCCCTCCCATGTATGCCCTCCATCCCCAGAGTTTTGTGTCCATTGGTTAAACTTATATGCATGTACACAAGTCCTTCAGTTGATCTCTTATCTCCCCCAGATCTCCCTACCCTCCCTGCTGTAATTTGACAGTCTGCTTGTTGCTTTACTGTCTTTATATCTACCTTTTGGTTCATCAGTTTATAATGTTCTGTAATATCCATAAATGAGTGAGGTCATGTGGTATTTCTCTTTCAATGACTGGCTTAGTTCACTCAGCATGATGTTCTCTAATTCTATCCAGGTTGCTGCAAATAATGCGAATTCCTTCTTTTTATGGCAGTATAGTATTCCATTGTGTAGATGTACCAAAGTTTCTTGATCCAATCATCTGCTGACAGGCACCTAGGCTGTTTCCAAATTCTAGCTATTGTAGATTGTGCTGCTATGAACATAGTGGTACATATATCCTTTCTGATTGGTGTTTCTAGTTTCTTGGGATATATTCCTAGGAGTGGGATTACTGGGTCAAATGGGAGTTCCATTTTCAGTTTTTGAGGAAACTCCATACTGTCCTCCACAGTGGTTGCACCAGTCTGCGTTCCAAACAGCAGTTCATGAAGGTTCCTTTTTCTCCACAACCTCGCCAACACTTGTCGTTTGTTGATTTGTTGATGTTGGCTATTCTGACAGGTGTGAGATGGTACCAAATTGTTGTTTTGATTTGCATCTCTCAGATAATTAATGACTTTGAGCATGTTTTCATGTGCCTCTTGGCCTTCTTTCTGTCTTCTTTTGAAAATATTCTATTTAGGTCCATTGCCCATTTTTTAATTGGATCATTCATTTTCCTTTTATTTAGTTGTATATGCTGTCTATGGATGTTGGATATTAAACCTTTATCAGTGATAACATTTGAAAATATGTTCTCCCATACAGTGAGCTTTCTTGTTGTTTTGTTGATGGTTTCTTTTGCTGTAAAAAAAGCTTTTTATTTTGATGTAGTCCCATTTGTTTATTTTCTCTTTAGCTTCCATTGCCCTAGGGGCAGTATCAGTGAAGAAGTTCTTTTGGCATATGTCTGAGATTTTGCTACCTGTGGATGCTTCTAGTATTTTTATGGTTTCCCATCTGACGTTTAAGTCCTGTATCCATTTTGAGTTTATTTTTGTGTATGGTGTAAGTTGGTGATCTAGTTTCCTTCTTTTGCATGTATCTGTCCAATTTTCCCAACACCATTTATTGAAGAGACTCTCTTGACTCCATTGTATATTTGTGCCTCCTTTGTCAAATATTAATTGAGCATAGTGATTTGGGTTGATATCTGAGTTCTCCATTCTATTCTATTGATCTATATGTCTGTTCTTATGCCAGTACCAGACTGTTTTGAGAACAGTGGCTTTGTAATACAGCTTTAAGTCTGGTATTGAGATCCCTCCTACTTTACTCTTCTTTCTTAGGATTGCTGTGGCTATTTGGGGTCTTTTATTGTTCCAAATGAACTTTTGGAGAGTTCTTTCTAGGTCAGTGAAATATGCCGTTGGTATTTTAATGGGGAGTGCATTGAACCTATAGATTGCTGTAGGAAGTTTGGACATTTTGATGATGTTGATTCTACCAATCTATGAACATGGTATGTTCTTCCATCAGTTTACATCTTCCTCTATCTCTTTTTTCAGTGTCATGTAGTTTTCCACATATAGGTCCTTTACTTCCTTAGTTAAGTTTATTCCTAGGTATCTTAATTTTTTTGGTGCGATGGTAAATGGAATTGCTTTTTTAGTCTCTGCTTCTATACATGTGTGTGTTTTTTTAATTGGTAACTTTAAACATCAAAAATAAATTTTATAAATTTTTGTCAGAAGAAATCATACAATTATTAGGTTAGAGACATAAAATATGACTTTAGAGTCCTTACTGGTTTTGCTCAGTGTTTAGAACTTTGGCCTGTGGTTTGAAAGGGTTGTGTTGTAGATTTATTCCTGGCTTTGGTCAGGGCCTAAGTGGAGGCAACCAGTTTATGTTTCTCTCTCATATCTCTTGTAGATTTATTCCTGGCTTTGGTCAGGGCCTAAGTGGAGGCAACCAGTTTAGGTTTCTCTCTCATATCTCTCTCTTTCTCTCTCTCTTCTCCTCCTCTCTCTCTCTCTCTCTCTCTCTCTCTCTCTCTCTCTCTCTCTCTCTCTCCCTCTCTTTCTCTCTCTCTCTCACCATGTCCCTCTTCCAACCTTTTCACTCTCTCTAAAACATCAATGGAAAAAAATACCCTCTTTGGATAAGGATTAAAAATAAATGACTAGATATTTATATTGTTTTCATTAGATTATTATGGTTTAATGCAGATTTAACATTGTTACATGAATATAGCACAGAAAAATATATTTTTGCATTGTTGACCTTGCTTTCCTACTTCTGTAAAGATATTTTTAGTAAGCACAAGGAGGAAATTGAAGTATCATTCTGATTTTCAAATTATTCTGGTCCAATTATTCACCTCACTTACTAGTAATGAGACTTCTGCAAGGGAACTATTGCAGCTGCAAAAAACATGCAAATCACATTGGAAGGCATCCAGAGTTCAGAAATCCTGTGGTAATCTAGTATATGAATATCTTCCTTTATAATCTGTAATCATAAAGTATGAATATTTTCAAAGTAAACTTGAATAGTTTTTCAAATTTGGTTTAATAAAATAAAAATTTTTTGGAATATAGTTCTTATTCAACTATTAGAGTTGTTTCAGAAAAAAATGTAAGTTTTGAAAGTGAAAGAATATGTTATGCTTTCGTCCTGCTTGCAGATCTTAACAAAGCAGTTTTAATAACTAAGTCTACTGTTTATACTGATTATACTATTTATTTTTATAACAATTAAAATTTACTAACTTAATTATCAACCAGTAATAAACTTATACTATGACTTTTATATTTAATCTACCAACATAAATGCTATAAATAGATACTCTTTAAGAATGTTGAATCTAAAGTACAAAATAAACTGATGAACAAAATAAATCCAGGGACATAGAATAAGGCAGGGGATGGTGAGAATTAACCAAAGAACTTATATGCATATGTGCATAACTCATGGACACAGACAATAGTGTGGGGAAGGCCTGAGAGGTGGAGGGGATGGTGGTGGGGAAGGCAGGCTAGAAGGTGTCAATGGGAAAACAAGGGGTCATCTGTAACACTTTCAACAATAAAGACAAATTAATTAAATAAATAAATAAATAAATAAATAAATAAATAAATAAATAAATAAAATGAAAAAAAATAACTAGGAGAAATATTAAAATTCAATCTAAAAATAATCAGCTATTACATTAAATATAGATGCATTAAATAACCATGTAAGTCAAAGATCAATATTTTGGAACAAAACAATCTTAATGTAGATTCATTAATAATTTAAAAATTATACCTTTAAGGTGAGAAATACTACTGTATAGAGAAGAAATATTTCATAACTTAAACTATAAATTCAGCAAGAAAAATTGAATTCATAAATATTGATAGCATACACTGAAATAAAGTAAGAAAGTTAAAATACATATTATGTAGAAATTGTCTAATTAGAAAAATATTACTGGGAGAAATTAAAGACAATCTTAATAACAGAGGTGTATACTATGCTCCGTTCAAATTGATGTTATATTGCTTAATACAATGTTGCTCAAAGTAATAAAGTATTTGAAATGGTAGTATAAAAATATTCTTCAAAGTAGAGGCACAAGATGTATCATCTCTGATATTTAGAATTTTCTTTCTTATATGGGCAGAAATAAGAAAAATTTCTTTAAGTTTGGAAAGCATCTAGGTCATACTATTTATTTTTTGTTCTAAATGTTTTTAATTTTATGATTAAACTTTAGTAAACAGTTTCTAAATCATTGCAATTATTGCTTAACAGCTACAGCCTATTCTGAATAGCATCATATATTTTACTATCAATTTTTAAAATATGTCTTTATTGATTTTTAAAGAGAAACAGAGGGTGAGGAATGGGGTTTAGAAACATTGCTGAAAGAGAAACATCATCAGTCAGCTGCCTTCTGCACACCTGTACTGGGGATTGAGCCCGCAACCAAGCCTGTCCAGGAATTGAGCCAGCAACCTTGTGGTTCATGGGTTGATGCTCAACCACTTAACCACCCCAGCTGGGCTTACTATCAATTTGATTTTTAAAATCTCACTGTGAGCTAAATCTATTCAGTTTTCACTTCTATGTTCTAGGTGTGACAGTACTTGAAGGCCCGATTTATGCTGTGGGAGGCCATGATGGCTGGAGCTATCTGAATACAGTGGAGAGATGGGATCCCCAGAGTCAGCAATGGACTTTTGTTGCAAGTATGTCAATTGCCCGAAGCACAGTTGGTGTAGCAGCATTGAATGGCAAGTGAGTAGATTTTTTTTTTTTAATCTAGGGCAAAAAGAAGTTTTTGAATGAATATTCTTATAAACAAACTTAGTGAGATTATTTAATTAAAATCTTTTAAAATATCTTCAGATTTTAATTGTTTTAAAAAATTAGTCTTCATGGATAATTGACAAATCAAGACTATATTTTTCTGGTTGTCTCTTCATATAAAATAGAAACCAAAATTTTGTCACATGAATTGCTGGTTAAAGTTGTATCAAATACATTTCATAAAAATTACATTCACTAAAGATTGGCAAACTTAATATTCTTTCTAAGAAAACTAATATTCTTACTGAGGAGAATTCAAAAGGATACAAGAGCCCTAACTGGTTTGGCTCAGTGGATAGATTGTCAACCTGCAGATTGAAGGGTCTCGAGTTTGATTCCAGTCACTTATCACTGATTCTCATCATTGATGTTTCTATCTCTCTTTCCTTCTTCCTTCCTCTCTGAAATCAACTAAGAAAAAAAAGTATATATATTTTTAAAAAAGGGTACAAGAAGTTAGTACCCAACATATAATTTTTGCCTAATTATAGAAGTCTGGTCACTTTTCACAATTTTTATTTCTTTTACTCTATATCAGGAATTCTCAGCCTTAATACTCTATTTTTTGAGTCAGATACATTTTTGTTGGGGGTGAGGCACTGTCCTGTGCAGTGGATGGTGTTGAACAGCATTATGAGATCCTATGCACCGGGTGCGAGTTACTCTGACTCCGATGTGACAACCAAAATGTCTGCAGAAATTGTCAGATGTCCTTGGGGATGGCTAAATGCACTCCTCCTTACCTTGAGAACCCCTGGCCTAAACTAAGTTAATAACACATCTTTGCCTGGACAACTGCTAAAACTAACAATCTGGTCTCAGCGCTCATTCTGATACAGTCCACTTGCTAACGCAGCCAGAGCAACCTTTTATAAATGCAGATAATGTCATTATTCTTCAAGGGCTTCCTTTGCAATTAGAATAGAATGCATATCTTTACCTACCGGCGTATAAGACGACACTGTGTTCTAGTAAAAAGCCTGCTCAGATTGGCCAGAGTCAGAGAGGCAGTCTATTAAAAAAAGAACTGGTGTTGCCTCGGAAGTGGGGGGGTAGTCTGATACAGCGAATATAGGCCTAAACCTATGTTTTAACTGTAAAATTAGGGGGTCGTCTTATAGGCCGGAAAATATGGTACAAGGACCAACTAGATCTTGTCCCTGTCTACTCCTTTTCTTCTCTGTGCGCCAGCCAAGTTGCCCTTTTATCTATGCATCAAATATGGCAATTTCTAAGCCAACTCAGTTCTTTTGTGTTTGCTTTGTTGTTGTTTTTGTGTTTTTTTGTTGTGGTGGTGGTGGTGGCTTGTTTTGTTTTGCTTTGTTTTGTTTGCTTTTATTTGTTTGTGGGTGTGTTTTTTAATTTGTTTTTGGTGTTTTTTTAAAGAGTTTTTTATTTTAATTTTTAATATATTTTTAATTGATTTTTTACACAGAGGAAGAGAGAGGGATAGATAGAAACATCGATGAAAGAGAAACATTGATCAGCTGCCTCTTGTACACCCCCTACCAGGGATGTGCCCTCAACCAAGGTACATGCCTTTGACCAGAATCGAACCTGGGACCTTTCAGTCTGCAGGCCGAAGCTCTATCCACTGAGCCAAACCAGTTTTGGCTTATTTTTGTTTTGTTTTGTTTTTTTGTTTTATTTGTGTGTGTGTGTGTGTGTGTGTGTGTGTGTGTGTGTGTGATACTGTTTCTGGCAAATCTCTGGTACCTATCCTTCTCATTACTCAGATTTCATCTCAGGATTTGTCCACATGATATTTATTAGCCACTATATTTAAAATAGGCAACACTGAATACCTTCCCAAACTATTTACTTATTATTCTTGAAATTATATATGTTATTCTTTTTGTCTCTTATCACTAGCTTTACTAGTATATGTTCACTAAGTGTTGATATTTTATAAGCATCATTCATTATTATATTCCTGGGTTTGATAGCCCTTTATCATATGTACTCAGTAAATGGTGAATGAATTGCCCTTTTTGTTAATCCTCATCCAAGGATACTTTCCCTTTGATTTTTAAAGAGAAGGGAGGGGGGGCAGAGAAAGAGACAGAAACAGAGACAGACATAGATTGGTTGCCTCCATCCCCCATGCACCCCCACATGTCCTCATGGGGCAGCGATGGAAACTGCAACCTAGGTACATGCCCTTGACAATGAATTGAACCCTTGACCCTTTGGTGGGACTCTAACCACTGAATGGCACTGACCATACACAATTTAGTTACTCTAAATAACCTTTGACACTCTAAATGTATTTTCTAAATATGTGTGAGTGTGTATATTTGCAAAGTTAACAATTATAATAGTAACTTAGAGGACCAGTGCACAAAATTCATGCATGAGGGGAGGGACCCTTCAGCCCAGCCTGCACCCTCTCCAATCCAGGACCCCTCAGGAGATGTCCAACTGCCAGTTTCAGCCTGATCCCTGGGATCTGAGGATGTGCCTCCTGCCCCAGTGCCAGGGCCAGGGGGTCTGAGACTGTGCCCCCCACCCTAGTGCTGAGGCCATGGGACCTAAGGATGAGTCAGGGAACCTGAAGCTGTACCCCACCCCCCTGGTGGGGCTTGACAGGGGACTTCAGGCTGTGCCCCCCACCCTGTGGGGCTGGAAGGGTATGGGTCTCATTCAATTTTGAGGCACACATAGGTGGGTGGGGACTTGACTCTGGGTTCTATGGCATGCTTCAGACTCTGACAGGAGGGAGTTTTTCATATACATTTTTACTAATTTTCTTTCATCTCTGATACTTCTATTACAGAGAAAGGTCAAATAGCAATATTAAAATATTTCCTCTAATTAATTCCCTCTTGATGTGCACAAATTTTGTGCACCAGGCCACTAGTAAGTATACAAATTCTTTGGTTTATTTCTTCTGGTACTTTTAGCCCCACATCAAGATATGTCAGCAAATTTTCTTAACAGGGATGAGAAATATTCTTACACCTTTATTATCTTATTTATTTGCAACATTATTCTGTAAGGACAATTCATATACACCAACACACAGACTATATTAAAGTTACTCATCTTATTCTAGGTTTTTAATAATTACCTTGCATTATAACTTTATGATCCTTCTGTAATACTTAGCTTTGAAATATCTTAAAATATGTGTGTGTTTTTATAGATCTCAGCCAAACTCAACCAGAAATAAATGGGATAAAAATCTAATAAGTGAAATATTTAATGGGCAATGTTTTATAAATTTCATATGTTGTTATAATTGTATTGTTGATCCAGTTTCTTCTAATACTTCTTTTAACTTAGTTATACATGAAATTTATTATTTGGGTTGTTTTTCTTTTTCTTTTATTTTTTGGCCAGCTAAAATATTTAATATCTTAAGAAATTATGTTTTACTCTAAAACACCATTTATACTAAATATCAAAATGCGTAGTATTCAAAGTTTTTAATTTTAATTGAGTGCATTGTCCCAAATTTTAATTTTATTCCATGGAATATTTTAAATAATGCAACACTTACTTCAATTAATGTTTCTTCTTTAAAACAAAATATTACAGCTTTCATTAGAATATCTCCCTCCACACACACACTCAAGGTATGATTTAATGGCCTAAAAAGTCTGTGGTTTGATGACTCTACTAATGTCTTTTTTTGTTTTTCTGTTTTACCTGGAAAGAAATATAATCACTAGAAAGTCACCTTTCACTTTAGACCCATAGCAGAAAACTGTTTCAACATCACCCTTTGACAGTTTTTTTTCTCTCTCACCTCTATTGATGTGTGTTTTTCCCCTCATGTCATTTTCAAATCTCTCTAATGTGTCATTCTAATCTGACTGTTGCTTCTCTGAATGTGATTTTGAATAATTTTCCTAATTAAGGCTAATCAAAATAGTGAACATCCCTCTTTTTTTTTTAAATATATTTTATTGATTTTGTACAGAGAGGAAGGGAGAGAGATAGAGAGTTAGAAACATCGATGAGAGAGAGTCATCGATCAGCTGCCTCTTGCACACCCCCCACCGGGGATATGCCCGCAACCAAGGTACATGCCCTTGACCGGAATCGAACCCGGGACCTTTCAGTCCCCAAGCCAACGCTCTATCCATTGAGCCAAACCTGTCTCGGCTGAACATCCCTCTTGAATTTAGATTATTCATGATGCCATTTGTTGTGGGAAAATAAGAAGTTGGTTTATAGCTTAAAATTAATGCATGTATTCTGATGAATTTAAGAGCAAAATTATATCCACTTCATGAAACATTTTTGTCAGTCTTCCAATAAGAAAGATTATGCTAAATGGCAGTTATATGATCTTATGTCAGCACAGCCACAAACTTACTTGATAAATAAAGAAAATACAACCAAACAATTAGCAGATATTAGTTGTATATGGCCATATGACTCCTGAATATCTCCACTAATGATTCTATGTGATTTTTTTGTACTTTTAGCTTTAGGTTGATTCTTTCAAACTTTGTACCTAAAAGCTCTTTCTTGTTTGTTTATTTTTATTTTCTCAGCTCATACAGTAGATACTGACACTGTCTGAGTACATCCATAAATGCTTGAATTTTAATAAATGCATTCTATTGCCCCTAGTAATTCCCCAAAATAATGGAGTTTGTTTCATTATTCTATTCAAAACTTATTCAATCAATCTTTCAAAATCTCATGTTATTATATTCATGGGAGAGTTGCCATTTCTGCAAGTCATAATTTTTGCAATTGCAGCCTGAATTTTATACAGCTCGAAGAATCATGAGAATAAGTGTCAAAGTCTGTTGTTTTATTGGTGTGCTCAGTATCTAGCACAGTAACTGTCTTATGCCTCAAGGCCCATCACTTGTTGGGTAATTCCAAATACCCTGTTTCTATTTTTGTATTCAAACTTCAGTATTGTCTTTCTTAAAAGTGGAACTCTAAATTTATATAAGCTTTTATAT